AATAATAATAATAATAATAATAATAAAAATTATAATGATAATACTAATAGCTCATTCGTTAATGTCTGACATTGATCACTACTTCGGCTGAGGAGAATATTTCTCCAGCGAAATAGAAGACAAAAATGGTCATAGACCACATCTAATTTATGGTTTGAGATTATACAACATATAGCTAAGAAACGATTAAAGGCATGTTAAAGTACATTGCATCAGTTGAAAATCTACAAATTTGTCCTTTCTCGATTTTTAGCCGATATCTTCATTCATGGATTGTGAGAAGTACTAGTTTTGTCAGAGCACATTTCACATGTGTTATTTTTACCTACAATGACCTTCAGCCCATTGTAGCCTTCAGGAGACTAAAATTTTTGTTTGGAATGAACAGACCAGTCAAGGAAGACAGTGATAAGTCATGCAAGTCTTAGAATGAAAGATGTGGGCGGAACTGTCTTTTTTTAACTTGAAAAAATTTTCTTGGCTTTATTGTAGTGCCATGAAGTCAGTGGACGTAGACCGCAACGTGCGCAGAGAGAACAAGCTCTACTCGTATGAGGATCAGATGGCTGAGATTGAGCTGAGGAAGGTTTGTGTTTCTGTGTTGAGACCTGTCTTTGTCCATTCTAGCTTGTAACATGTCTGTGACTGGTATTGTAACTGTGTTGAGGTCGTGGATGATTGACGGGATACTTACTTACTTACTACCCATTACGCCATTTGGCGCTTAGGGCAGCCGCAAAGGATCTCCAGCTCTGTCTGTTTTGGGCCATCTTGGTCAACGCCCCCCACGAATGGTTCCATCTACCGCCCTTCTCTCTCCTTATTTTTTTTTTGTTACTCTCTTCTAACACCTCTAATCTTTGGCACTTATATGAACTTGTTGTGTTGCAAGTGCCGTAAAACTCTTTCTAAAACATGTGTTGAGGCTTGTCTTTGTATGTTCACGTGTGTAACATCTGTATGGCTGCTATTGTTTCTGTATGTTGATTTGAAAGATGGAGGGTACTGGATGAGATGGTCAAGGGAGTTATTATAAAGGTATTTGAGGGTTTCATTTGTGGGAATAAATAGAAAATAAACACTTGTTATATGTTTATATATTTGTACATAATCTTTTTGCTTTTTTGCTTTTCACAGTGGCAATATGTTAGAATAAAAAAACTGAAATCCGCCTGAAAAGTACAATTTTGATATAGTATGTTCTTTTGCCTCATGGAATCACCCGGTGGAGTGACTAATGTAAAAATATTAAAATGTTGTTACACATGAAACACATAGGGGAGGGGGGGGGGGGGC